CTGCGCGGTCGCCCGTTGCTGCGCGGCTGCCCGAACCCAAAAAACCGCGTTACAGAAGCCAGGGCGAGGCGGCGTTATAAAAATGTACACTTTATTACACCTTCAGGTAGGATACATCACTATTCCTTACAGTCCTACTGGATCGAGTACAAACGCTTATTATGTTCATCGGGTATTTACAGGCTTGACTTCCTAACACGCTCCTGGGAGAGGGACACATCAAAAGGAAAAAGAAGAAAAAAAAAAGAACAAAAATAAAAGGTGGTTTTTATCTTTATTAACTGACCTAAACAAGAAACAATTGCCTCTTTAGACACCAAATCAGACCAGCACAATGATGCAGTCAACAGGTTTCCCACTGCTGGAAGTGATCCCCGCTCCCCCCTCCCTCCCACTCCCCTCCCCGATTTTCATGCACATAACAAAGAGCTAAACATTTAAAAGTAAAACTGGGGCTAACTAAGCAATATTTTTTGGATGAGCAACACCTTACTGTACACAGTGTCGGCTATCCGTTACCATTGCATTTACTTTGCATTTTAAACTGTTCCACTGCCAGCACTACCAGCTTCGAAGCTGGGAATGCTGCATGCACAAACAGCTTAAAAAAAAAAACCAAAACAACAATGCCCCCGTATTTGCAGACCTGAGGGTCCAAGAAAAAGAGGATGCAGGAGAAAAGAGATATAAAATAATTAAAAAAAAAAAAAATTAGGAACACGGCCTGACCCAGTGTTTACATTCGTGATTTTAACAGAACAGGCTGTGCCAATCCGACTTAAAACAGCGGAGCTGACGGGGCATTCTTTCTTGTTTAAGCCATTTGGATTGCCAGTTACCAAGAGGTGTGTACATACAGAGGTAAGGACAAAAGACACATTTTCCTTGCCTTTAAACAGGCTCCCCTCCTAAAAGAGTAAAAAGATCACAGAATGGAAAAATAATTTTAAAACCATCTCAGAAAAGGAATGTCATAATTTTGTCTGAATTTTACACGTCGTGCGGTTTTATGGCCAAAGTAAAATAAATCCATTCAAGCCACCAAGAGCTTTTTGATTCCTCACTCAGTGCTGTTTGAAAACAGTCTGTTTTTCATTTTATGCCTGAAAAGTAAAGAAAACCCCCACAGTTCTATGCAGCTTTTTGCTTGTGTTTTTTTTTTTTTTTCCCCATAACAATAAGGCAAACTGATTTGGAGGAAGAGGCCACGCTCTATTCACATCCAAAATACCCACCTGAAGATACATTCATCATTAGCTTTAGTAAAAGAATAGTACAAAAGTTAGATCTTATTCTTTACACAGTTGAAGAATTAAGTCTTAGATTTAATTTCACTATTCTCCCCTTCCCCCAACCCCCCACCCCCCCGAGCTGAAAGCTGAGTAGAAAGTACTGAACATTTAAACATGTTGCAAGAGCAGAATGAAACTGAGATATTGAATTTTATCAGTTGGAGCGTTTCCTTGAAAGAAGTCCCATGAGAAACAGCTATGGATCATTTGTTTAGCTGCACCCACCGAACAATTCTTTTACAGAAAAAAAATGGGCTACACTTTAATACACATCTACTATTCAACACAGTATTTACTCAGTTCATGCCTAAAATATCCATTATCTTAAAGCGAAATATGAGAACGAATGCACAGGTTGGGTGATTCAGTAAACTGTACACAAAACTACTAACAAACATTTTAAAAGACTTACAAAAATGGAGAATGAAACTTTTTTCCTTCTTAATTACATATACTTACAGGTTTTCACATTTATTGGCTAAACTTTTTAGGGCACACTTCAAATATGTTAGATCTTCCAGAGGTATTTACCTCAGGCGAGAACAACAGGCAGCTTTTATACAGATGGAAAATACTTTGCTAGATTAGCCACACTTGGTTCTCTGACCAGCTTTACCGTGGATACTGAGCGCACATCCTAGCAAACAGCTGCGTGTTCCCATGGGCAGTCCGGGGTATGCTAACACAGATGAACTGTACTGACATTTATGGTGTTTCACCATTCTACTTTTGTGAAGCTGGGCAGAACTCAAACGTAAGTAATGTGTGCTTTATCTGGTTTGAATGAGCACAGAGAACACTGGCAGAATGCATCTTGTACAGATTTTGAGTGCTAAACTGTTGCTAATATGCTGAAGTTGTATGAGAGTTTCCATGTTTAAATGTTCACCAGCAAAAAACCTTCTGCTTAAAAAAAAACCACAAACACAACAAAACAGAGGTGGTTTGTCTTCATTTAGATGTTTTGAACAGCTTCTCACTTGGCTTAGCAAACAAGAAATGCTGTGTTTCCCTGGTATTGCATTTTAATCAATAGTTCAACTTGGTTTAGTAGGTGCCTTTAATCTGACAGTAGGCGTCCTCATCTGTACTTTTGCTTGCTGATTCTGGGCTTCAGATGTTGCTGGTGTCTGGGCTGGATTCTGTACACCTGGAGCCTGAATCTGGGGAGATGCTGTTGTCACAACTTGCTGTTGTATCAGCTTCTGCTGCACGACCTGAGCAGTAGCAGTTGTTGCAGGAATCACCTGAACCTGCTGTTGACCTGCTGTCGTCTGAGAAAGCGTCACAGTTTGGGGTTGAGCTTGTACCTAGACATTAGGATGACAAGATGATTACAAAACAACAGTTTGGCATTAAACTGAGCGTTCACTACATTTCCGCTCTACAGAAGGCATCTTATATAAGCACTTGCCCTCTTGACTGACAAGGACCTTAGACAAAGTAGGAAGGCTGGAAGGAATTCTGGGAATGCAGGCTCTGTGGTTTCACTGGAGAACACCGTTCTGTCCCATTTTCTAGAGCCTTATAAACCAGAACTATGAGCCAAGATGCCTGGTAACTCAGACCTCTGCAGTGCAAACCACAGGATATCCCCTGACAGCCTTTACAGAAGATAGATGGAAGGTAGAAAAACCCACTGTTCCTGTACTACAGGAGCAGAAGTGAAAGAACAGGGAAAAGAACAGATGGACAGAGGGGGGATCAAAGAGGGTAAAACACCCACTCTGCATCCATATTGTGACAATAAATACAGTCACTGAGGCTTCCAGTCTCTGACATTACCCTTTCAGACTACAGCTGTCAATCTCTATTGCCAATTTAGGGTAGAATACTTTGAACTTCATCCAGAAATCTGATTTTCATAGCTCTACCCAGAACAAGGGAGAAAAAAAAAATTAAACATCTCCTTGTTCAGAAGACAAGGTAGTGAAAACTGAGCAGCTTCAGCTGCTTTTGTCAGAGGAGAAGCCAAATGAAGCTGCCAGGGGAAAGTTAACTCTTGAATGATCCAAGAGGAATCCACTAGGAAGCACTAAAAATGCAGGTAAAAAGAATGCCACACGCACATCAAGACTGCAGTTTTGCATGGCCTAATCCTCCTGTCATTGATGTTACTGGCGTGTAGTGGGAGGGGAGCTGGTTATTTTTCTTTTTATCATGGACTTCAACAGTCTCAGCGTTATGCCAACATCCATGACTTGAAAATCTAGCTTTTAATGTCCATTGAAAAATTATCCAGGAGCTCTTACTGTCTACAGAGGACAACTCAACTTGTGTTGACTGATGAAGTTTCTCCTCCCTGCTGTCTACCTTGCCCTTGAAGCATTCACATCTGAGGTGGTTATCACTCAGCTTACACCACTTTGTCATCGTTTGAAGATAAACAGTCACAGATTTTATCCTGCACTAAAACACTGCACTATAAACTGTGACAGATTAAGAGCCGATTTGCTCTGATTTTTGTGCACTGAAGGCAGTAACTTCATCCACTGTCCAGAGTTAAATTATTCCTGCCAGTCAACAACGTAAATTATGCCTGTTGCTAATGGTCTGAATGACATTGTTCTAAGCAGTGTAAATAAACTGCCTGGTAGTTAGGGGGGCCCAAACCTTCTGACCTTCTCTTGCCTGAGTCCCATCTGCTTTCATACCACATTTAGAACAGATACCACACCATTCTGACTTTCACAAAGCACTTGGCACAGCTTTATGAACTGGAACATACCAACTTATAACCCTTGATTTATCCCAATTTTTACAGAACAAACTGAGACAGTGCTTGCTAGTTCCATTATTTGCTACCTTGACTACGCATCACGAGAAACCAATTTTTAAAAGTTCTTTCAGCTCTAGAAAATGTTTTTCAAAATTTATTTTGCAGCTTATCTACAATGATGAATAAACATTGGTCCATCTACCAAAGTTTTAGACCAGAGAATATACAGCGGCTGAGTCAGTATTCACGATTCATTTCTATAGAAGAGAACTTGCTACATCCTTCAAAAATACTGCCTATGCCACACATGAGGTGAAAAATACACACACTCCAAATAAATAAGCTTTCAATAGGATCATGTTTCTAGTGCAAAACCTACCTGCTGGGAAACTGAAACCATCTGTTGAATATTGGCAACAGCAGCCTGTTGCTGGACCACTTGTGGAAGTTTTGCAACCTGTATTGACATGAAATAAAGACAGGTTTGGTCAAAGTAAAAAATTACTAATAGCAGCAAAACACCAAACCCATACCTATCGAAATGGCTACCAAGTGAAAACCCTTCCGAAGTCCTGTTCGTGGTAAGTTGCACCTTGGCATTCCCAGTGATACGGGACTTTTGTAAAAAAGAAACTTTACAGATCGGTGTATTGAAGGAGGGGAAGAGGAAAAGTCGTATTTCCAGTTTTAACTGCAATATACTTGCTTTCTCCTAACTACAGATAAAATTTAAGAATCCACAGATGTTCTAATGGGCTACATTATCTTAGGTATACTTTTGAAGGAGTAAGGCTTCCACTTCCTAACTGTCTTCCTTTTCCTTGCTTAGACTGATCCAGTTACGCAGTAAAGAAGATAACTGCCAGCTACTCTTAGCTGCCAATTATAACCCAGAGGTTAGGCTGGGACGCAGCACCAGAAACCAGGAAGAACTCTGGCTGAATTTCCCTTAGTAAACACAGTAGAGAATTCCTTGCTTAATAAAAATGAGTGACAATTTATTTCTTTCAAAGAGGAAAAGTGAACTTACGGCTTAGATAGTTCCTCTGACCTGCTACAAGGCTGCACATTCAGCACCAATGACTTTTATTATGAAGTCAATTTAAACAAATGTGTGACTAGAATTAATGTGAGTGGGTGCTAAAATGCTACATCACCTCTTGTCTTTGCAATTCTCCAGTCACCGTAGAGTTTAAAGGTGTAAACCTGCGTTACCTGTACCTGAATCTGGGCCTGCACTTGCTGGGTTCCACCTGGTTTCTGGGATTGGGAAATTGGAGTTGTTAAGAACTGTGTTTTAATGGCAGGCTGTGTGGTATAAGTTACTTTTTGTTGCTGTGAAGTCTGCTGTTGGGTTTGGACTGTAACCTGTTGAGCATTTATCTGCACAAGAGAAAAAAAAAGCATCAATAACTGCAAAATATATGTGTATTTTAAAGAACAGGTATGTAGCTAACAAGATTAATTACATTTAATTACTGAAACAAAACACACCCAGGATTAGTAACAGCAAAATGAGCAGTAGGTGAAAGCTTTCATGCCCTTACACAAACATTGTGGATCACTTTTAAGTATTTACTGAAAAGGTTCTCTCTTACATGCATGCACATACACACACACTTCATATGATAATGTACTTCCAAAACACCACATTGGAGGCTGATTGACAGCCCATGAGGGAAAAAGTGTATTTTGCACAATTTGTATTGTAAACAGTGAAAACCTTTGGGAATTTTCCATATTTGGTTATACTAGAAGTGACTAAACAGAATCTTCATCTTTGTTACTTAAAAAAAGAAAATTCAGTTTGGGGCCTAAGAAATCACACCAAACAACAATCTTATTGAAAAAAAATATTAAGCACCTGACAAAGCACATGGGAAAGCATTCTCTCTCCATATACTTAAGATCCACCTCTAGAAATACTGACTGACTGTCTCGGAGTGCCCTCGTAATTCAGAGCTGAAGCTTTACAACCACAGAAGCACTACGTGACTCAATGGGACAGCAAACAAGTACCTTTTGCTGCACAGTAGCTTGACCCTGTGCAACCTGAGGCTGGATAGCTTTCTGTTGCTGTGCTGCTTGATGGTGCTTGAGTTTTAGAAGCTGCTGGACATGCAGTGGCTGTGCAACAACCGTCTGGCCTCCTGAAAAATACAAAAATAATCAGAACTGTAAGAGTCTTCATTTTACTGCTTTGTCCCAGTAATCATAGCTTGCAAACACAGACTGTGCTTTTTATGGACTTACAGATCTGCATAGTTTTGAGCACTAATAATCCACTGATTTTAATGGGAATAAGACATATGATTTTGACAGTGGAGAAGAAAAACATTCTGTATCTAAGGGCATAAGTAAGCTAACTTTGTGTTCTAACAATAACCTTCCTACAGGAAAAATTCTGTCCACAGCAGGGGAGACAGTTATGAAATACAAGTTTTCCAATTTCCATTTTGCATTTAAAAAAAAAAGGGTGAAATTACTATGCCTTTCTTTTAAAAAACTGTATCTGCTCACCTACTCTCATGCACAAATTTTTAAAAAAACCCAAACATATCTGCCTAAAGAGTCATGCCGACCTCCAGATTACATAGGATATGCACAATTCTCTTACCTCAGTTTTGAAACAAACTGGATTCAACCTCTATCACTTTAGTTTTTAAAAAGCATGTGTCCCACAGAATACATTATTTGGAACACCCTACCCTTAAAAAAGCAGTATTTAAAATTTTATTATGTTTTAGCAAGTCTGTTGACATACCTGCTGCTTTCTGTGGCTGCCCAATAGCAACACTAATGCCTGCAACGGTAACAGGGAGTGTAGTGACTCCTGCAGATGACACAACAGCAGCGGGAACAGACACTACTGGAGGCTTTGCCAAAGCAACCTGTGCTGCTTGTGGAGTCTGAGCCTGGATCTGTCCTTGTGCTTGGAGCTGGGAAGCAGGAACACGAGTCTAAGCAGTAAGGAATGAAGATTATTGTACTGGCACAAAAAATATTTGCTGCATATAAGAGGTCATTATACAGTGATAGCTATACATGTTTGTAAACAGAATCGCTCCTTTACAGTAACACAATCCAGAGACAGTATCAGTGTGTAAACGCAATTTGAAGCTGTTTATGTTACGGTTGTATCTTTTGTACTGCCTGAGTAACGCAAAGGGCACTTGTGAAAAACCCGAAAAACCCATACCCGGTTCATTTAAACCATCAAAGAGAACAATGCCTTCGAGAGACGTTTTGCAAAGTCAAAGACAACTTACAAGGCGAGCAACTTGCAGGTTTGTCACAGTAGTGCCTGTGAGAACTGCACCAGGACGAGGTGCTGTGACAGCAGTGAGTTGCTGAGTTTGCTGTTGCTGTTGCACTTGCACTTGTGCTGTTTGCTGCTGTGCCCCTTGCTGTGTCTGCTGCGCTGCCTGCTGCTGGGGAAGCTGCAGTTTCTGCTTCTGCAGCTTGATCAGCTGTTCCTGCAAAAATGAAACACTTCCATCATTTCTACTCTTTTACATGACTACAGGAAAAAAATCGGAGATGAATCTGGAGCTTTAAAGGAGAAACCTTCTATGTCAGACTTTAGTTAAGATCAAAGAGTTAAGAATGCAACTCCCTTGTGCAATGAGTTGCCAGGGACTAAGCAAGTGCTTTACATCCTGACCTACTGTGCTAGTGGTACTGTTTGAAACGTCTGTCAGACTCACTGCATTCATGAAATTTTAGTAGAATCAAATTTAGGAAAGAGCTGTATTTCACTCTAGCCCAAGAAAAAGGGATACACCACACACTGCTAATGATGCTTACAGTAACAAAGAGAGTAACGTGTCATGTTATTCCAGAAGCATTTCCTCACCTGTGTACAGTTTTTATTTGAGCTGGAGACTGGGCTTGTGCCTGAGCCTGAATCTGTGGGACCTGCACCTGAGCAGCCTGCTGCTGCTGTTGCCTCAGAAGCTGGAAGTGAGCAGGGGTGATAGTTTTGCCGGAGAGCTGGACTGTTGGTGTAGCTGTGAACAAAGAAAAAACCAAAATGCTCTGAAGAAAGGTTTTCAACGTTCAATTTAATTCCTTGAGTTCACCTGAAAAGCCAAGCTGTTAAATGCATATTTTTCTGCTCCAGCATGGTTTGTAGACTAACTACAAACAACACCACATTAGCATAAACATGCAAAAGCAGAGTAAATAAAATATATGCTCCTTTCTTCACTATGTTTTTTAGTCAAGACAGTCAATTCTAATATTTTACTGCTAGATGACTAATAATCTTTTTTAATTGTAATGCCTAGAGGCCAAGCAGCTCTCTAATGCAACACTTTACCCAGAAATACTGGAGAAAAATGTAATGTGAACACCAACAGTAACACAAGTTAAAAATCACAGTATCATGTAACTGTGCTGCCAACAAATCCAGACTTTCAATACTGTGGGGCTATGGTGATGAAGCCACCCACAAATTCTGGGGCTCTTTATGTACCCTCAGAAAAAAAAAATTAAACACACAATTATTACCTGGTGTAACCTGAGTCACCAAGGATCTGGTCTGGGTCTGCACGGGTGTTAAGTTTGTAGTTACTACTGCTGATGCTGTCACTGACGTCACTGCACGAACTCCCTGGGTAGATGCTATGGTCACCAGTTCTGTGGAAGCAGCAGGTGCTGCCGCAGTCCGCTGCTGGGTATGTACCACTTGTGCAGTTGCAGTGCCTCCTGAAGTCTGAAAAGGAAGAAAGTCATCATTCCTTACAGTTTCCATACCTCATATAAAGCTATGGAATCTTATGGAAATGGACTATACAATTTTAGAAACAAACATCAAAAACACAAAAGCAAAGAAGGTCCAAATCTTTCTAACACATCTCTCTGTTTGGTTATGTCTCATAATCAGCATCTTGTTAAATCTTTTTCAAACAGGCTGATCATCAAACCCTTAACTACAGTACAGAAATTTGATTTTACTACTTTTCAATTTTTTGCTTTATCTTCCATAGTCTTAAACCATTAAAATAATAACAAAGATCATAATTAACAGAGCACAAAACAGTTACAGGCTGGAAATGATGATGACATAATGTATCGTCTATGACAGCACTTGTCTAGGAACTATTTTTAAAAGTAGTATCTATTAGGCACTTTTTTCTGATAAACCGTCTCTGTGTTCTGATATTTTGGTAAGGGAGAGGGCTTTGGTACAGAATTACATGATGCACATGCAATTTGCAAGAAACAGTTTCTGATTACATGGAAAGCTACAGAAGAAAACAGATACACTGATAAAACGTGCAGCCAAGATCAGTCCAGGGACGTAACCAGCGATGTGATCTACTCACAGTCAACGTTCCAGGTATAACTGGTGAAGCCAGACGTTTATTGATGGGCTGAAAGGTGGCAGCAGGGACTCCTGCAACAGTATTCACTATGACGTTTCCACTCACTGTAGCTGAAAGCAAGCCAACGTTAAATGTTACATACTAAAAATGAAAATCTGAATGTCCTATCATCTCCAATGCCTAATTATAAAGTCTTCTTACCCGTCTGTATACTCGTCCCTGTAACAGCTGTTTTGATTGTGCCCGCCTATTTAGGAGACAATTGAGGTAACAGTTCAGACAAACAATAAAAGGAAACTGAATATAGCTCTATGCTACTACACTGTTTAACACAATGCTGCATTCCAGAGGTGACAAAATAAGAAAAACGCAATAAAACGCCCAGCTACTTCTGCAGTTTTTCACTCATTTTATGTGTCAACAACAACTGATGTGTAAACTGGGATACTGCCACACTAACGAACAACTGGAGACCAGTCAAATGTTTGGTAAATACTGGTCATTTGACATCCTTGTTATCAGAAGGGAGTAATGTATTACTCCAGCTTGCCACAGACCACTCAGACATAAGCATCACTGAGCAGTAGATACACAGCCATGCGTACGGGTCAGAACTCATCCTCCGTCTCTTTCTGTAAAAACTGTAGTATTCCTGCCCTTCGACAAGCCAAATAAAATCACCACTGCCTGCACACGTTAGTATGCAAACTGGATTGGCTCTAAAAACAAAAGCCAGACCTGTCATAAGATTCATTAAAACAACCTCTAGATTTAACAAAGCCATGAAAACTTTGCACAGATTTGCAATAAAACAACCATGGTCGGTCCTGTAGGATGCAACATTCCATTTGCCTTGCAAGGGTTAATAAGGCTTTGGTTTCTAAGCTACCTTAACAGAGTAGCTCTTACAGTTACTTTCTCTTTATTCTCCAAGTTCTCAGTATAAACACTGTTCACTGACTGTGTAAATGTACTTGCTCAGACTTTGATTAAATTAAATTAAATTAAATTCTAAACCGAAAAAGGCAAAAATTTTTGCAAAGGATATCATGTTTTTCCACCTCAGAATGCCAAGACCTACTGCTATAACAATACGAACACAGTCGTAATCAATGAGAAAAAAAGAAGATACCCAGCATACTCGGGGGGGGGGAGGGGAGAAAGAAAGAAAGAAATAGCTTTTATCTCACTCTACTGACTTGAAATTCTCATTTTCCAGAGAAAATAAAACCCACAAATTCAGTACACACAGAAGAACTAACAGAGTAACTAAAGTTACTACACCAGAGGCACCAAGCCCTCCCTTTCTTACCAATACTGCTGTGTTGGCCACAGTAGTTACTGCAGTCTGCACTACTGCCTGGGGCTGCGGAACTACCTGTGCCTGAGCTTGCGGCTGAGGTTGGGCTTGTGCTTGCTGTACAGAGGGTTGCTGGGCTTGCTGCTGGCCAGCTTGCTGCTGCTGAGGCTGTGGGCCTGCCTGTTGCTGTGCCCTCTGCTGTTCAGCCAAAGCCTAGGAAATCAAAGCGTGAGCTTCACAGTCTTCAAAACAGTGCGTGTAACAATCAGCATGTATTTTTTTAATGAAACGAAATAACAAACAAAACCGCTTTAATTATAAGCATGTATTATATGTGTGTATGCAGAGACAACAGACAAATGTGTCTTTGCTGTAACTCTGCAGCTCCAAGATACGTGACCTAACTAGTTTCAAACTACAAGCTAGATTGATGGTTCTGTGGCTTAGAGCATAGTACAAGTGATTTACCACCAACAGCCAGGACAAGTATCTCCTTCTAAATAATATAAGAAAGAAGGCTACAGAATAGTCAAGAATAAAACAAGATTTTTATGGTTTTTAATATGTTTTCCAAAAAGATGCTTCTAAACGATGATTATCAGTGTGACATACAAGCCCAAGGAAACCTTGGATATTTAAACCCTAATATATGAACAATTTGCAGCTGCCCATAACATTTAGTCTACTGCCAAACTTCTCCCAGGAGGCGGCTTTTGTTTTACTTCCTCTGTTGTCTAATTTTTTTACTACTGCAGTCACATGTACAGCTGAGAGAGAGACTGTACCTTTTTCTCTTTTGCAATACGTTCTGCTCGGAGGGATGCAACTTGAATTGGAGGAAGTGGCTTATCATAGTTGATTCCACTAGAAACAATTATAAGGCAAAGTACGCAATCATTAAAAATAAATAACTGAAATTTAAAAAGGGAAAGAAAAAAAAGCACTTTTATGGAATCATGAACTCCTTTAAGACAGAGTGTGCCCACCTTTCTGCAAGCACTGATGCATGCTTTGGATTCTTCTGGAAAGGATTCATGCCAAGTCTGAAATTGAGCAAAACTGTATTACTGGAGACAGAAAAAAAACTTAATATTTAATTTCACATGTTTTAGTGGATGACACTGGCAGTTTTGGTGAAGTTGTCATGATATTCATGTATGTCATGATATATGCAAGTAGGAGCTTGCATACAGATAGACATTTTAAGAAAGACTCAGAGTAAATATTAAATGAATACATAAAAAGTTACTGCCGTAATATAAAGGAATATACATAGAACATAATGTACTACTAAACAACATAGACATCAAAATGTTTGCAATTCAGGAAAATGGAAAGTGTAGTTTATAAAGCAGATTTAAAAAAAAACAACTGAGTGCTCTTTTGCTCTTAGTCACACAAAACAAATTCATGCACTGAGTAAAAGCTAATGCAAACACGTGAAATATGAAGGTGTTCCGGTAACACAAGGTCAGGATGCAAGGGAAGAGATCAAGAACAGAGAATCAAAACAGCAGTTTGAAACAGTGTAAAATAACTCTCAGTTGCAAGAGCAACTCAGAACAGAGTCTCCAGGAGATCTGTGGTGACAGGGAGATCGACTGATCCCAGTTACAACTTACAGAGGTTTGATGGGTGGACTTCTTTTCCCTGCAATCATTTTCATCATCTCAAAATGATTAGTATAAAGTTGTGTGTGGGTGGCACCCTCATCTTGAGCATAGATCTGGTTGGTACGGAGTGGGCGACTGTTTTTAGTCTAAAAAAATAAAAAAAAACAACCAACTTTCAATGGCGAACACACCCGCTGGCGTTTTGTCTATGTATAAACACATGGCGCGCTTGTGGGTTATTTAAAAACGTCCTCCAACATATCTATCACAGACTGGTTTCTGCCTCGTGTCACTGATAACTTACTGTTACGCAAAACTCTACGGGAAATATATAAAGAAAGAGCAAAACAAGGAGCGGTTTTCGCGGTCACACTGGCATCAGCACTTGGGGACATACCAAATGGCAAACTCTAATTCGAAAAAGAATCTTTGCTTTAGTTCAGATTTTGCAAGTTTAATTCAGTACCCAAACCACGAGCCCATTAGTTTATAGTTATGCATAGCGCACACATAATGCAACAAAACCATCACTGCACTGCTCTCCCAGCAAAGCTACGTTAACATCCAACACACCATGCCATCCTAACGTTTCGCTTCTCCTAAGCAGAAACTGCCAGTCAGGGACAAACCTGCTTATCAGTCAGAGAATGGGACTACAGTCAGAAGTTCTAGATTGTCTACCCAGCTCTGCCACTAAATTGCTGTATGGTCTGGAAAAAGTTGTTTATAATCATGGAATTTACTTTCGTTCCTGTAGCGTACTATCATCCTCATCTACTAACAGGTGCTTCGAGCATTAAATTCACTACATGTTTGTCATCCACTTAGACCCTAGCATGAAGTACATTCTTACAGATCTTAAGTACCAGCATAATAATCAGGACAAGTCACATGGTGGTTGTTAGGTGGAAAAATACCCACTACAGTTTAAGTGAAATCACAAACTTCTTGCATGATTTAAGATTTATCTATTAAATCCAAAAGCTGAAGTCTGGTGTCAATCCACTGTATCAACAAAGAAAGAAAAAATAAATATGGAATTTTAATTGATGTTTCTGAACTCAAGCAACACTCAACATGGATCTCATATGAATATCTGCCCACCTCCATTGCTGCTAAATACCACAGTGTCTAGATTTGATTTTGAAAAAATACCAATGCACACCTTATAAATACTTTTTGTCTTCTTTTTAGGATTAGCTTCGTACATTAGCTGTAAAATAAGAAGGAAAGTTAGATGATCTTTTGTGGAAGATTTTGTTCAGCTGCTTTTTCTTTTCAAAGAAATCACATAAAATAAGTGGAAATCCTGATGAGGATAATTTTACAAACTTTTAAAAGTTATTTATTTACACTGTTGAAACATTTAACAAAAAACAAGTGTTTACGGAGATAAGGAAAAAAAACTCTACAAACTTAAGGTAAAAAAAGACGCATCATTCTATGTAAACTCACCTTTCCTTCTTCCCTTGGAATAATGACATTTTCGTATCTGTTTCGGCACTGTTTTGGAGAGCGATAGACTCTGCTGCACGAGTTAACAACATCACTAACAAGGTCCCAATTGGGAGTGTGTGCTGGCGATACAACAGCAAGATTTAAAGGAAGCTCCAGCAGCTGCTTCACTGCCTACAAGAGATAAAGGTACAAAAGCTTCAGACGACAAATCATTCCAGTCTTCCAAACCCACCCTTATCTGCATGTGTCCACACACCATTACTGCCATCACACCGACAGCTTAGGGCTCAGGCTATGGGTTCACCTCCATTTACAGAGAATAAATAAGGATAAAATGCCATTACGCAGGCAGACGAGCAAGAGAACCCTTGCAGATTGGTCTGAGAGGAAGAGAGAGCTGCCATTCAAGTGCTGCTCTCTTCTTAAAGGTGGGGAGAATCTTAGCTGCATTATTCAATGTCCAGACAGCATAACTAATCCGGAACATAACAGTGAGTGGTCTCTACAAGAAAAATAGGACTTATTCATGCATTTTGTGGATTAACCTTTAATTTATCCTTAGAGGAACACAAATGATAGGCAATCTGTTTTGAGTTAGCAAAATGCCAAACTAGCCATTAAGAATTAGAAATAACCTCGAAGAGGTAAAGTGCAGAAAGAGTCATTTCTAAAATTAGAAGCAAAATGCAATAAATAATAACAGCAAAAGGTGCAGGTATCATCTGACCTGCAGAAGTGCCCAGTCTTCACTAATCAACCACTCTGGATTATCCTGCCCAGCTTCGGCAGCTGGTTTGACAAGAGTCGGCAAAGGCTTTGCAAATTGTGTTTGTTGTTTCAACAAGATGTTTTTCTTTTGCTCTTTGCCCTCTCGGCGCATTTTCAACATTCCTGGAGTTGCTCGATCAAAAAGTGAACGAGGTGGAATAACTGTCTCTCCATGACGTTGCTTTTTCTTCCTACCTGCAGCTAAGATAAAAAACCCACATTCTTGGTAAAGAGTTACTACCATTCTTCGATTCCTCTGCTACTTGTAGCTGCAAAACCCTCATACATGTGTGCAGAGTATTCCCCACTGCCTCTCAAAAGCATACTGTCAGTAACTAACTGATAGAAAGTAAGATCAGCCTTGTCCTAATTCACACAGTAGAACGCCTGTTTTCTAAAATTGTCTTTTCAAAAACACCTATATGCCTAAATAGAAAGACACACTGTACGAACCACAGCTTCCAGTGATTCTATTGCTTCAAGACCACGGTGAGACAAGAATTTTCATCTCTTCAAACCTGCAAATTTGATTTTTACTGGAGCAGACATGTAGGAGGTATGAAAAATCCCCTATTTTTCTAACTTTCAGCGATAAGTCTCCGTATGATTTTGAACAAACACTTACCAGATGGATCTGTTTTGTGTCGTTTACGTTCCTTTCTGACATACACTGGGGGCAACTTTGATTCTGGAATAGGGGTGGTATCGTACATCAGGCACATAACAGAATCTATGTAGATATCATTGTCATCCTGAGGTGGAGTGGGAGGAGTCCAAAGCTACACAGAACAAAATTTGTAGTTACTGCAATATTAACCCTCCGCTGATATTTATGTTTCAAAATATAAAAAGCCTGTTTTTTTAGGTGCCTAGTGTTACTTCTACTTACTGGCATTATTTCAGTTTGTCCATCTGGACCTTCATAGATATATTCCTACAAAGCAAAAAGAGAACACAATTCAAATGATCCAACCGAACTCTGAAGGAAAAGGTATTCTCAGAATAACTGTTAAGAAATACACTACTTAGAAAAACAAGATTAATCAGGAATTACTTTGTTGTATGCATCCTCCCGAGTGTAGGTTAGAAGTTCTTCTTCATCCTCCCAAAGCAGTTTTTGTTCTTCCTCCTTTAACTCCTTCATATGCTGGACTTCCCATGCTTTCTTTGCAGTTTTCAATTCCATCTAGATGAAAAACGGAGTCCTTATTAACTTTATGCAACAACAGACACTGGATTAAAAGTTATCAATTTGTATTTCCATGGACAAACCTCTTGAACTTTGATATTTTCAGGCACAGAAATCTTACAGCAATTTCTTAACAGACACTTTCATAATCATTTAGAAGAGATTTTTTTGGTGTCTGCTGAGGGTCTTTACACCCTCAAAATAAAGCAAACTCCGAATTTCAGTTAAACAACCAAGACAATCAGAACTCAGCTCCTTTACCTAAATAAGCAGCCTCACTGAAATTAATGGATATTTTTTTCTCCCCTGCTATCAATGGAGTACAATAAATATTTGCTGAGATGTGCTGAAGAATGTCATTCCCATTTTATAAAAAAGAAGTTAAGAATTGACACCTGCTTAAACCATGAGAATCCCAAAATAATAAGCTCTCCGTAAGGCATTCCAGTGTTCATGAAGTACAGCAAGAGAAGATCACAGAAATGTCTACAATATATTCCACGTTATTGGAGAAACTTCCACTTCACATGGAAAATATAACCCTGCTTGTACATACTGTGACAGAACAACATGGAAAAGAAAGATTTGTCGTTTTACCTCATTCAACCGTGGCTCATTCTCATCAACTGAAACATGGAAGAGCTCTAAATAATTCAAAGCATACTTCTCAATCGGAGTCAGCTGAGAGAGCACATCAAGGAAAAAAAAAGTTAGCATGGAGGATAATAAAAGAAATTTTAACTGAAGGAGAGTGTATTAAAGGTCTCCTTAAAACTAATCTCCCTCTCTGATGGCTTAACATCTTAAATCAGTAGGAGATCTCCCATTCATTTAATGGGAGTATCAATCTCACAGACAAAAAGTTGCTTTAAGGCCAGACTGCAAAGACATTTAAATATTTGCATTAAACATTACTTTTTAACCAAGTATTAACGGAAAGTCACGGTACCTGATCCACAACAGCAACTAACTCCTGCAGCTGTGAGGGCTCTTCGTTGTATTTTGTCTCACAGAGCTCTGAGATTAAAGGTTCCATGCTTGACTCAAATCCTATGTCTTGTATGCAATCATTCAACTCCTCATTCTCGTGTTCAATACTGTTGAGGGCCTTTCAGAAAGAGGTATTTAAAAAACAATGAAGACTTCAGAAACATGGAAAGAAATCCCGTAAGAAGTTCACTGAAATCCAGCACGAATTTCTGGAATAAGTCTGTGCTGAGGCAAAAGAAACAGTCCCTAGAATGTATACAATGGTGGGCTTTAGGAAGTTTTGTTACAAGGAAAATGACAAAATAACATAAAAACTACCAGAAAAAGAGACTGACAGAATTTACCCAAATAAATACTGTTTAATACTAACGTTACAGAGCTGGATTTTTAATGTACGTGTTAACAATTACCTCTATGAATGGTCTTGCAACTTTAGGTGAAATATTTTCTGCTGGAGATGGCTCTTGAGAAAGTACTACAAATTCTTCTGCTTTCACTCTAAATCCAGAATCCTCCATAGGAGAATGAACCTCAAACAATTCCTGAATCGTTTGCTTGGTAAACAGAAGGGGAAAAAAAAAGCGAAGTACATTCAGCTTTCAAGACCATTCTATTTTTTTATATAACTTTGAATTAGCTCAGGTTTAATGACTTTATAAACTATAGACTGACTAAAGAAAAAATAAACCTCTATTATTTCTGCAAAATTGTCTGTTTTCTCTTCTGAAACTCTCCTGTAGGACTACAGAGTAGAATAAAGTGTTAACAGTTCATTTATATGGAAGTCAGAAATACACACTCTCATCCTGTACCACCATACTGGGAGTGCCAGAAGGGATGGACGAGGTTCATCAGTGCAGACACTGTCTTCTGCATCTTCAGAGCAGCAACTAAATACCGAAACTTTACATGTCACATTTTTAAAGTTGTTGAAACCTTCATCCTTACAAACTCTGCAGAATTTTGCAGCAGGTGCAAGAAACCAGAATATATTAAGTCACACAGGTGATGCCTGTGCATCACAATGCAAGTAACAGAACAAGAGCAGATGGACAGTACTTAAGAGAATGTGGCCCTAACTCCTAGAGTTAAAGCAATCATGAAATCTAATATGCTAACCTATCAATTCTAGCCTACTAAACTGTTATTAAACACTCCACCACAGACGCTTGAATTTATTAAACACTACAACACAGGCGTTTGAACGTATTTTGAATATTAACTTACCTGTGTTAAAAAGGCCATTGAATAGTCATTTCCCTGAGCAGCTACTTCTCTGATCAAGTCCTTTGTGCCGTTTTTCAAGAGCTTCTCTTCTACAGAATTACCACTGACAAGCCTAAAAGAAAAAGGAAAAATAATAGAAATCTGGTAAGTAATTTCCAAAAACGCTTTCAGAAACAAAAGGAGAAATTGCTCTTAGAGAATAAAACTGACTTCTTAAAATGTGGTGGTTTGTGGGGTTTTCTTTTAGTTCTGATACAGGCCGAGAATAAAACACATACTACCATCTCTACTTTAAAGCTTTCTTTTAACAATTAGTGTAATTAAATAAAAATCAAAAAACACCGAACTTAAAAAATTCCATGTAAACTAACAAAAAAACCATGCAAGTATATTCATTCATTACATTTAGTGTTAAGAAAGATCACATTCTCTTCTATGATTCTATGATTCTATGAAGAAAGATCACATTCTCGTACGATAACCTGGCATCTTTTTTATTGCAGTGAGATGGGAGTTTTCAGCACTGTTTCCACTTTACTTCAGATTATACAGAGTAGCGTTATGGGAATTAACCTTCCATAAAAGCATGTTAAAGAGCGGTCATTGCTCTGTAACCATCACCTGTATATATGGATATCTTTACATCTCCCAATCCTGTCACACCACTCCTGAGCTTTTGCATCCATCACTGGGTTTAGATCATTGTCATAGAACACAACGGTGTCTGCTTCAACAAGATTTACTCCAGTGGAACGACTGTGAGAGGAAAGGATGGCACAGAAAATGCGCTTGTCTCTGTTGAAAATTTTCATCAGCTCCTACATAAACAGAACAAAAGCAAAGAGCAAATAAACTATATATCAAAATAAAATATCAAACAAAGTTCACTATAGCCTAATAAAAAAGACAAAAACAAGTCAGGAGTTTCAAAATGAGTGAGAAACAAGGCAAACTTCCTTCCCCTGCCGTAGCATACAAAAGCCTGAGCAGCACATATTGCTGTGACAGTGGACAATCACCAGGGCAAACTTACCTGCCGTTGCTCATAGTTAGCGTATTCATCAATCCTCACGAATGTGAGGAAATGGAAATTCAGGAACAATTCCAGTATGTCCAACATCAGAATCATTTGTGACAAAATCAGCACACGGCGCCCTTCGGATTTCAACTTTTGAAGCAAGACAGCAAGAGCTTCTAATTTTCCTATATTTCAAACGAGAAAACCAATAATTGTTTTATACAGACATTCCATTCCTGTGAAACAGGAAACCACCAAAACATTATCACCAAACGTCCTCCTTTACCTGAGTCATACTGCACCAGCCGCAGGTCAGGGAACTGTAGCAAGTGGGGAGCTGTAATCTGTTGCAACTGATGCAAGTGTGGAGCTGCCTTCTGCTTAAGCCTGTGCTTAAGCAGTTTCAATCTGTGACTGTAGGAAGGGGGGGGATTTGCTACATACAAACACGGGGGAGCAGCAACTGCAGCTGGCAATACGAAGAGAGCCCTGTGAAAAGCATCAAAACAAGGGAATACCAATTTAAAAAGTTACATACAACATGATCATCTGCAGCAATGATTTTCAGCCTGTCAATCATGTAATTTTACTCTACTATCTAACCGCTTTGTTAAAGTAACTTCGTAAGTGCTGCACACCTTCAAAGTGTTAATGTTCTTTATTTCCCTTTATCTTTTTGTTCGGTTTTGTTTTGTCTGCTTTGATGACAGTTTCTGTTAAGGTGTTTGCACTGTGACCACTGTATTCAGTCACTTACTAAAAGCAATTCAGAAAGGTTTGAGGAATTTTAATTGCATTTCCTGTTTCTAGAAAACTGCGGCTATTGCTCTGCACACAATCCACTAAATGTCAGCTTTAGCTAAAGTAGCTTCTGCCTGCATCGCTGTGTCTTAACTCTTGTTGGTTGGCTCCAAGAGGTACCTACCAAAGCACATGAATGTAAGCTGAAGTACGGTCAGCTGAATTTGGGCTTGAAATTAGGAATGAGACACTGGAAACTGTTTATTATAAAGATCCCAAAAGAAACAGAAGTGACTGTTATTTTTATGTTCATACTGCATATCATTCACTGCTAAACAAATCAGTCTAAACCAAACAAGCTCACAGAGACAAGGTTTTAAAGCTCTTTTGTAAAGGAGGGTTTAAGAAATAACTAAATGCGGTAAAGGCTTCCAAGGCAGGGTCTCATATTACCTGTTAACAACATCTTTTAGAGATTCTTGTTGTTGAACCAAAGTCAGGATCATTTCTTGCAACGGGTTGCTTGGGCCTCCGGAGGCACTTGAAGAAAGGCAACAGTTCACGAAGCCAGCCCACCTCCAACTGTTGTCTTCACTGGAAGACAGCTGAGAGGGCTTCCTTTCACCAGCCAAAGAACAAACACTCAGCAAGTCCCTGCCATACATCGGGGCCCGCGAACATCGGCGCTCATTGCCAGAGAATATTCTGTCTAGCCGCTCCTTCAAAAGCCGGTTCTTTTCTTCATATGTTTCCTTTGCCAAGAAAAGTTGAAAAAAAAAAAAAATTTGCTGCTCATCACAATCACTAAGGAATTTGAGTTTCTTTAGAATGAAGCTATCAGGACCAACATCCTTGATTATAACAACTACTTAAAGCAATCACAAAAGGTGTAAATTTCAGATAAAAGTTGAAGACTACAGCTAAACTCAATCATATTTAAGACTTAATTCTATCTTAGTTTAGTATCTTTCTTTTTTTAAAGCACATTTTCATAGTTCTGGAAATAAAACTAAATTAATCATTTAAGTTTGGGACATGACAGTTAACACATTAATAATGATAAGGTGCAGGCTCTTGCACAGTTTAATGTATACCTGATGTTTCCCTATGCTTTATAGGTTGCTTGAGTATCTTTTCTAAAAACTTGTTAAGATTAGAAATCTAAAAAGTTGCCCAGTTGCCTTTGTATGTTCAAAACACAGAAAATCTTATGATTCCTTTATTCATGCATTACCACATAATTACAACATATCTGTTATAAGAATCTGTCTGCTATCACAGCACAAGAAAGCTGTTAGCTGTTTTTATACACCAGAATTTATTTTAAAATATGGATTATAGTTAAAAATGCATCAGATCTGTGAACCTGAAATACTGACAAAAGTTGGGTTTTTTACTTACTCTGTAATTAAAGTTACGAACTAATTCCAACTTTGTAAATTCCAGCTTCCAACTATTATATGGACTTAGTATCAATGCTGGAAAGTTGTGTTTCTGTAAAAAAATAAAAATTAAGTACCTGTGATTGTCCATGTGTAGGTGCTGGTTTTAGCGCTGCTCCTATGTCAGTAGATGACAGATTAGTAACTGCCGTTCTACCTGGAATACAAACTGAGGATAAACCTTGTGTTTATCTATTTATTCTCGTGAAGATGTGTTTCATTTATCGTTTTCAATAAGTAGACATTTCATAGCTGTAACACATCATAACGGCAGACAAATTTTTAGTCTAAATATCCACTGGGCATTGCAAATTTGTACGTTGTTACACATCAGATATCTGACAGATATGTACATCAACTGTTTTTCATGAAAATCCAAGCCAGATCACTGGAATTTTACTTTTCTTTGCAGGAAGACCTGCTGCATTTGTAGTTTATGCAAAATGTCATGTATAGTGCAATAGGTAGGACATTTAGAACTTATATTCTAAATCAGGAAAAGATTGTTCTAATTTATTTCAAGCAAATCACCTAAGATTTTTCAGAAAACATATGAATTCAGCATATCTACAAATTCATGAAACTATACGATGGAATCTCACAGTAGCATTCTTCTGCATTCAACTGCTAGCAAATGTTTCCCCAGACACCTAACTAAACCATAAGATCATTACACACAAGGAAACTAATCGAAACTACAGGAGTACTCCTCATGCACTCGCAAACTACAGACACTCCAGAGTGGTTATTTCCTTGAGAGGATACTTAAGTTTCCATCTCAGCTCGTCAGCACTGATTATTTGAACTAGAAAAGCAGCACAACCCTGCACTAGTCAGCGTGAAACTGTATTGTAAGGCCGTACACCCTTGAAGAACTGCATTCAAGTGAGCAAGCAGGAGTTAGTCCTTACGTTAAGATTACAGACTCCAAGGAGTAAGCAGAGGTTTAAGCTTTGCCTTTCCACATTTTCATTACAAACAAGCTAATACAGATAGCCAGTATAAATCCGATTTTACTACACAGCTACACATGAGCCCAGCAATTATAGTTTCCAATCACCCAAAGCAATGGAATTTATTTGGCATTTTTTCCAAAATTCAGAAAGTCAAAGTAAGTATTTTCAATATGCTTTACATTTTCCTCCAAAGATGAACAGCAAAAATAACAGTGTTTTATTTTATCAACTGGAAACAATACTTATTATTGCTTTTAACGGAGCTCTCTTTTTACCATCATGAGAGTAGCAAGATGCGTGAGTTTTTGTAGAAATCTTACATCAATTTTCATTCTGAACTTTGGCCATATTAGGAGTACCTGTAATGTAATCAGAGCTGGAGGGTGAAACATTTGAGCCACAGATATTCCAAACTATGACGGAAATCCTTTACCTCCCAACAACTGGGAGGCTGTAGAAGCTTCCTCTCCCCTTTTTATGATGAGATGTTTACTCTTCAGAAAATCAAAATATGAACTTCAAGGGCACAGTAACACATCAAAAAGAAGCAGTAAACAGTCTATTTTGAGGGAACGGTTTATATCCGGAGAAAATTACAGCAGATGGCCATTTCCAGGGAAAAAACTCTTAGCACTACATTTATCATCATTTAACAACCTGCTGTTTTGTTGTAAATGCATCCTAGACAGCAATTTCTCTACTGTTTTTTGATCAACATCTTGATTGTGGTTTTAAGCAAAGAACTGATCACATTTGCAGCAAGGCACCAAGCACCTAAGCAGTATTTGCAGAGGGAAAGGGAAAACAGTAGCTTGATTAGATAGAGAAGCAAAGAAAATTAGATAAAAGAAAAATCAGTGTGGAAAACCAGTGAGATTTCCTGGACATTCTCTGTCAGTAGAAAAAAATAATCACCCTGATCGTTCTTTGAAAAAACTATTTCAAACCCACTTCTTCCCACAAAAATCTGACCCAAGACACAACTGGTAAAAAAAATGTTCTACATATTTAACACAATTTCAAGCTCTCCCAAGTTTGTACTAAAAAGTTATCTAAAACTCCGGTGCACAACACACACAAATCAGAAGGATTTGCTTCACAGTTTAACTGCTTCTCAACTCAACTTACAAAATTACCATCTATAACAATTTGGAATTACGTATCAAGGTGGATTTTAGTAATTGAATATTTATATAGAGACATTTTTCCAGGCTAGAAAACCTACCTTGTTGTGTCACTGCTGTGGAAGTCGGGACACCTGCTTGATGCTGGTTTCCTAAAGCATTCAGAGCGTTCTGAACAGTTCCTGCTTGGGAAACCGTCTGCATGACAACGGGACCCTGAGGTCTCAAATACTGCTGACCAGGTGCTGAAACGATCTGAAGAACACTTCCTGCAATGGGAGGATTTCAAAAAAACTATGCTGGATAGAGCGCAAAAGAATAAATAGTGTTCTCTAGTAAAAGATACTACTGTTACAAACTGATCGTTACTGTTTCAAATTACGTTAAATTTTCCCAGACATTCATCACACCAATCTGATTTAAAGTTCCATAATATCCCATAAGCGGAAAACACGTAAGTCTTCCTAGTTAAAGAGGAGTTTCACATTGTCGAGGTATCATTCTAAATCTAGGTATTTTATACAGAATTTGGACGAAATCAAATCAACCAAACAATCCTCACTTAGTGTTCCTTTTATTTATTTTGTTGGCCATAGAGAATCAAGATTTCCAGGTTCTCCCAAATTTGGCGACACACATACCACCAGTCACGGAAATTTGAGGGCAAAATATATTGTAGGTAGAGCATGCAGGTCAGGGCAATATTTGGGTCAAAATTCAGAGGCACACCAATCCTGAAGTACTATTTACACCATTTCAGAACAAACCAAGAACATCCTCAATTTTGTCTGTTTCTGTTCATCTGTTATCCGATCCAAAATAATGCCTCACCTTACTTTAGCTGTATTGCATACATGTGAAAACAAATTCAGTAATAAAATCTTGAAATACAATGTAGAAAAAGAAAGTAACTATGTCTTTCATTTGATAGGCACCTATTTTTCAAAACAGAGATACCTTGTTATCCCCGTCACGCACAAAACAGGTGGAGCAGAACAGTACAAGCAGTAGGGATGGAAAAATCTCCTTAACATGTAACAACAAGGAACATGTTGCCCATATCAAAACATCAGCGTTCTAAATAATGGAAAACACCCTGTATTGAAATAAGTACCTTGTAACTGCAAAGGTTGCCCTGCAGTGAGCTGGCGAAGTTGACTATGTGATAATGTGAACTTGTTCCCTTGGAACTGCAGCGTTACAGGGGTCTCTGGCTGAGCGATTCTGCCTTGTGCTCCTGCTATAGAAGCCAGCTGGGCTATTTTTACTACCTCACCACCTGTTAAGGAGGGAAACAGGCATTAAAAAAAAACAAAGTAGGAGGTGGGCTGTTCAACATTCACAGTTCTAAGTTTTGGTTAGTAAACTGGTGCTGAAGCGCCTTCCATGCATAATTATACTTAGTGCATCAAAAGTGTCATATAAAAGTTAAGCAGGTATTGCTTTCTATATTTGTTGGACTAACTGGAAAAAAGCTGATTGTTTAAAGGGTAAGAACATCAACATTTTAGAAGTTAATCACTTTCATTAGCAAAAAGGTTAAGAGCTACCTGAAAACTCATGTGACACTTTGTAACAGAACGAGTATAGACATTAAAGTGATTTTCCACTGCCTTTTCAAGAGCACAAAGGAAGGTTTAAGGAAGAGACAAAAATAGTCACACATGTGGCATTGTAAATACACATTTTAAATGGCCTGAAATTTGTTGACGAAACGTGATTTATATTAAGCAATCTGCACTTAGACAAATCAAAAAGCTTTAAAGTGACAAGGACCAAGCTTTTTGTGATTTAAATGCAGAAAGGTTAGAGGCATTTAAGCATTAAGTTTTACGATCTAGAGAAAACATTGGCGTGAAAACTTAGCTTTTGTAAAGGCAGTGCATTACCCCAGAGATAAAATTAATACATCAGTGCTCAGTACTCTACACACATGCTAATAGGCAGTGCACATACAACCTTAAAGCAAAGCCTCATCGCTTCTCTCTGCCTAACAGTTGCGACGTTCCTCTCTGACAGAGAGGCCTTTAGCGATGGATTAGTGCTTAATATGAAAGGAATAATTAGGATAGAGCTAAAACATTTGGTCTGAAGGAAGTCTTGCCAGCAGAAGAAACATGCAGAAATAGGAGATTAAGTTGACACCACTAATGTATGTCCACAGCAATTCTATTGTTTCTTATCCAATTTTTGATTTTCCTTGGTCATAAAGCAACATACTGAGCAAGGCTAATCAGAAGAGTGAAAAAAAAACAACGATTCTGTACACATTTTAGGGTGCCTAGTAACTTAACCTCATTGTAGTACAAAGGTGGGAGAAACCTTGAAAGGGGAGGCCACTTACTAGGCAACCGTGCCTGGGCCTGAGAGGTGAGAACCAGCCTCTGAGGCAGCACACTCTGTTGGATGGTGTGCGAGGGGGCCTGGGGCTGGGCCTGGCCCAGCTGCGAGGGCTGCGCAGAGGTCTGGCCCCGCGGTTTCACAGGGTTGGCTGTGCTAGTTGCTGTGGTGAAGGTCGCTGCGGGCTGGTGTCTTGGAGCACTGGTGGAAGCCTGAGTTGTCTGAAACTGTGCTGCTGCGGCTGCAATCAATAAGGGTTGTTTGTGCAAGCTGTTAGAGGTTTTAACTCCACTCTTTTAAACAACCTGCATTAAAAAGAAACCTTCCAACAGGATATTAAAACGGCTACAGGAATGGTTCGTCCTTACAGACTGGGATTTCTTTTACTCCATCCTATTTTTACAACATTATATATTTGGAAAGCATTGTTTAAAGGTTAAATAAATACACAAAAGCACTGTAAATTCCCATCTTTGACAGAACATTACACACGATCAGGGTTTAAGTACCAACTGTGCCGTATTTACTCTATATACTAACAGGTTACACAAAGCTTAATTTTGCATTATACTGGCATTATCATATCGTAGAAACTAGTGGGGAAGTTTACTGGCCTTTAGTCTGTTGGCATTTTTAAGCCATTAGTATTCTAGAGCATTAAGCTAGAGGGAAAGGAGTTCTATTAACAGATTAACTTGCGTTGTCTATGCAGAGGTTCAAGTTAACCAACCCAGTGCCAACTCTCTTACCTTGATTTGAAGAGACTGTAGCTATGGGCGATCTTCCTCGTACTTGTCCCTGTTGAGTTACCGTCGCCGTGGTCACCGTGCGCTGTATTTGAGTGCTTGGGAAAACTACAGTCCTGCCCTCAGGTTTCTGACCGTACTGAACGGGTTGAAACAACCTGAAAAGAATATGAAAAGTCAAAATCTATAGGAAGATCACAGTTTGGCCTTTAAAAATAAACTCTATCACCTCAAGAAAGTATAAACTGGTCTCATCAGATGCTAATCTCTTTCTTACAGACGGCTGAAGCTGGCAAGACTCATAACTTCAGCAAACTTCACGTGTGGATATTCTATAAAGTCAATTTGCTAAGTCCGAGAAAGAAGAAAACTTTCATTGCCATACATCCAATTTAATGCAGGATGCATCAGAATTACAGCAAACAGCTTAAACAGTCTAGACCAGTATCAGGAAAAAGCATCGTATCATTCCCAGAGAGACATCAACATGCTGGCAGATGACTACTTTGCAGCAAAAAAACAGCTGCACATTACTTTGAGATCACTATCTCACCAAGAGAGAAACACTCTTAAAAAATTTACTGCTATGAAATACTGCAAGCACAGCTAACACTGTAAGCCCAGCTTACTCTTGAAGTATCATTTCCATGCTACTTTTGCAAAACAACACTCCCTTGCCATAAACAAGGGCCCCAAGAACAAAATTCATCTGCTGGTGAAGTAAAAACTATGGGAAATCCATAAACAAACCTCAAATGGAATTGTATGCCTCAAAAAACTATTAAAATAGAATTCTTATTTTCAAGGATAAACATGTAATCAACAGAATAGTAAAAAGTAAAGTCAAGGCTGAGGTCTTGTGTGACCGACATTACCAGAGATGCAGGCAGAACTCTTGTAAACACAGCAACAGAACTACATTTTCCTCCTGTAATTCCAGCTTAAAAGGAGGGCAGTCGTACATACCTGCTCGGTTTGAGCTTCACTGGGTTGGGCCTAGCTGGTGGTGGAGGGGAGCTGTAGATTTCTTCAATCAACTTTCTAGTAACCTTTTGTTTTGGTAACATTTGTGCTTCATAATGAGTCATTTTGTTTTCCATTCCAATGAGATCAAAAAGAGACAGGTCTGATTCCTAGGGACATTGTAAAATAAGGTTTATTTTACATGATGACCCGATCAGTTAAGTCCTCTCTATGTTCTATGCTGAATACACTTTCTCTATTTTATTTTTTAAGCTGAAATAAATGCTCTAAGTTTTAAAAGTAAACTATTAATTATTAGCCAAAACTGTCTGGAAACCTTGGAAATATATCTTAAGCTGATAGTCCCGTTTTATGCATCAGCATCGGTAGAAAAAGAATTGAAATCATTAGCCAGTTATGGAAATCAAAGCAAGCCACGTTTAACAACGTATCATACGCCATAATTTCCAAATAATTAAATAGAATTCTTAGGAGGTGTTCGTTAACTATCAAGCTCAAATGCCAAACTATAAAGGCACACATATAATTCAGGAGTAGAAAAACATGAAGGACAGAAATAAGATCAACCAAAAAGATCATCTCATCTGCTCCATTACTCATATTTTTCTCTAAGGCAATTATTTCCTTTGATTATCTCAAGAAGGGAGATCACTTCTTTAATGATAACACGGACAGTGGTGCTTGAAACAGACTGACAGAAGTGTACTAATGTAGTCACTGAATCAGCGTGTTTACTCTTGTGTGAAAAAGAGTAAGTCTTGCTCTCCCTTAGCTACTGAAAGCAGAAAGAAAATTACAGAATGCGGTAAATAACCACTGTGCTACACAATGTTTTCAGTGCTGGAAAATTCCTGCAAACGTGAGTATGATGAAAGCAAAGCTAATTTCTCTTCGACCGAGCAGTTCATGAAAAATTACTCATTACAAACCACTTGAAAAGCTCAAACCACTATCACAAAAAAAAGAGATGGAGCAAGCATGCACTCGGTAGGCACACCCATGGAACAGTGAATATCTTCTATTTATAAATTTTAGGTAGACTTATGATGTATAACTAAGTGTTGAAATTATAGAAGGCAACAGAGAGGAAAAAGCAGTTTACTTTTCTACTCACCTTCCAAATATCCCTTTCTAGGGCACTCAGTACCAGAGACGCAGTTCTGTATTCCAGTGTTTCTGATACATAGGAGGTACTCGAAAGCCGGGGGTTTATCAGATCAGGGTGATTACAAATCCGCTGCAGCTGCATCAGGACATGCAGGACACTGATGAAGTGTCCACTTTTGAGGGCTTCTTGGGTTCTACCAAATAATTTATACAGAAATACATTCATTTAAGTACAGCTTTTATGGAGATGTCCCTAAATCAGCAAGGTGAGAATGTGCAAAGCAGTATGTTACGTAAAAGTCTTAAAACAGCTTAGAATTTACCTAGGGCTTCCTAGAGCATTTTAAGTGGCCCTGTACCAAATATAAATTTGGAAACACAAAACTTAAGGACCAGTGCTACCTTCCAGTCAACTACGACCTAAGCAGCTCCCTATTACCTGCTTTGTTTCTGTTTCATCCCTGCACCTATCAATAACCTCTTGATATCACAGCACAGATAAACGGGTGAGTGGGAGAAGAAACTCTTTTGGCTTTAAGAAGTAGAGAACCACTGACTAGGGACAAATCTTAACACAAAATAGCTGCAAACTTGACCATTACAACTTGAATTTTAGGTTCCAGAGTTAAATGCACATTTTTCCTTAGGCCCGTAGCATCACTTGCCTGTAATTTCAATTTACAATGTAGTTACATTCTATTCAATGGTCCTAACAGATGATTTCAGAAAAAAAACACTAAAACACTTCCAATCGTGACAATCGTTTATCGTCTTGTTTAAGCACCAAAAACGACACCCTTTTTTGTCTGCTGTTTGAACTGCTTACCCTGGTTGTAATATGACATCTTCATACATAGCTTTTTGTCGACTGGAAAGACGACACTTGAGCACATGTTCGTATTTCTTTGTTAGCTGCTTTTCAACGTCTCTCTTTGATCTTCGCAAAATAAATGGCTGAATCATCTGAAACATTTCACAATTGAGGGAAAAAAATTTTCTCACTTCAAAGACACAGCTTTACAACATGAAGCTAAACCTACTCACACCTAACACATTTGATGTGATAAACTTCGTATATCATACACAATCATATTGCTAGGCACACAGTTATATATGCATTAATTTGCTCTTTAATTTCTGTATGTTACGCTCCAAAATCTGAGCTTTGTATTACTTTTTCAAAGAAATCTTCATACTATTCCAGTAGCAGAAACCTCTGCTTTCAGCGGAACTTTCTGTGTGAATCGAACACAGTGTTAAGAAAGGCCAGAAATTTCAAGGTGAACAACATCTTTGCCTTTCTTCCTTTTTTTTTCCCCCAACAGCTTAACTATTGTATTAGGACAGAAGAGAAAAAATGACAACATACTCTGTGTAACCTGATGACCAGTTTATGGCAATAATCCTGGTTCTCCTCATTAGCTGCTTTTACTGGAAAATCTAGATAAGGTCTGGAAATTCCCGGAATCAGAAAATGTACCATGGTCCACAACTCCATCAATGTGTTATGTAAAGGAGTGTCTATCAGGAGTAAACGATGCTGGCTGTGAATAATAAAAGAAAATTTTTAACTGACAGAGCATTTAGCTAACATCATTATGAAAAGGACATCAATATTCAAACACCGTTTACTGTAGCTTTAGGCTTGTCAGACACACAGAAGTAGTAGTAGTGCTAATAAAATTAAATCTAGGATAAATTATCTTTTTAATGTTGGATATACCACCAAACTAGCTTCCTCATTGCAACTGTCGGAACATACAAGGAGATCTGTTTAGGAGCACAGAGTATTAGCAAAGAAGAACTACAGTGTTAGAATAGTGGCAACAAGAACAACCCGAGCATGTCTCTGAATCCTGATTGTTTCAACTCAAGGCACCCCTGTAGGTGTATGTTGCACAGGAATTTGGACAGACCAAATCAAGAGGGTTTTTATCTGTTTTCTGTTAAAGAGAG